GGACACAATATTCCTCATCCAATATCTTTATTCTTGATAGCACATCAGCATTACCATGATGTTTTCCCTGGATTATCTTGAACTCATACAAACTAAGTTGTTCCAGCCATCGGCTAATTTGTCCATCTGGCTCTTTGAACTTAAACAGCCAAGTTAAGGAACCGTGATCTGTTCTGAGAGTAAATTTACGTCCCAACAGATAATGTTTAAAATATTTTACAAAGTAAACTACGGCTAAAAGTTCTTTTCTAGTCACACAATAATTAACTTCTGGCTTTTGCATCGTCCTACTTCAGTAAGCAATTACCTTCTCCTGACCATTCTGCATCTGAGATAGAACAGCTCCAATACTGTATTGACTTGCATTGCAATCTAATATGAATTCACCTCCATCAACACTAGGCTAAGCTAAGATGGGCGAAGAAATTAATTTGTTCTTTAAAATTTCCCAGGCTGTACTACATTCCTCTGTCCAATTCCACTTAATATTTGATTTCGTAAGTTCAAAAAGGCTTTTAGCTATTAAAGAAAAGTTTTTGATGAATTTTCTATAATACAAAACTAAACCCAAGAATGATCGAAGTTCTTTCATGTTTTGTGGAGGCGCCATTTTTGAAACGGATTCTACTTTATTTGGATCTGTTTGTATACCTTCTCTTGAAACTATATGTCCTAAATATTGTACTTCGTGTCGAAAGAATGCACATTTCTTCGGTTTAAGTTTTAGTCCAGCTATTTTAAGTCTGTTCATGATTTTGCATAGGTTGGAAAGGTGTTCTTTATAAGATTTTCCATAAACAATAATATCATCTAGATATAGCACCACAATATGCCATTGTAGTCCACTAATTGCTGCTTCAATGATTCTCTGAAACGTTGATGCCGCATTGCATAGTCCGAAGGGCATTGAAACGTACTGATAAAGTCCGCCGTTTGGAGTTGAAAAAGCACGTCTTTTCTTTGTCACTGGGTCTCATTGGTATTTGATGGTAAGCCATATCTAAGTCCAATGAGGTGAACCACTGATATCCACTTAAGGCATCTAAGTTATCCTCAATTCTCGGTATCGGATACGCATCTTTTATGGTCTTTTCATTTATTTTCCTGTAATCCACACATAGTCTCCATGATGAGTCTTTCTTCTGTACCAAGACAATGGGAGCCGACCATGGACTACATGATTTCTTTATGATACCTTTCTTCTTTAAATTCTCTACTTCATCAGCTAAGATTTGTCTTTTAAACAATTATACTCTTCTTGGGGGTTCTTTACTTGGTGTTTCATCATGTAATTTAATAGAATGCATTCCGAACAAAGTTTTTCCAGGTTTTCCATCAGGATTTGCAAATACATCTTTGTATTGCATTAACGCCTTCTTAAATTGATCCGACTGTTCTTGGGTTAAAAGCTTTTTCCCATCTAGAAACATCTTATCCATATATTGAGGCAATATTTCATCAGTCTTATATTTTCTCTCATCAATGTGACAAACGTCTACATTATCAAACTCTACTTCAATATTTTCACCGATCTTCATAACTGGAACAAACAAAGCCATATGCGTTCCCTTGTACAAAATAATATCTGTACTGGTTGCATTAAATAATCTGGCATAAATTAATCCATGAGATGCATTCACAAGAACTCTTGCTTATAAGCGCCAATCCATTGTTTTTCATAAAACTTCTCTCAGGAGACAATACACCAAAGATATTCAATGAAGTATCTCCTACCTTTCTTGTTAATCCTGATTTTACAAAGTCTTCATGTTTAGCAGGTACCATAATAGTCTCTAAAGCAATCACTCTACTTGATCGATTATCGACACCGTTTTTCGGAAATGGTATATTCTTTCCATTTATTTCCAAAGAAGAAGTATTCGAATCCCAATGACAACGAAAACACTTTATAAAGTCTTATCCTAACAAATTTGATTTAACTCCTCCAACAATTATAGTAAAATCTACACAAAATTCGTCAAAGACAATGTCATAACTGCAGTACCCAACACATTTAAACAACTTCCATTTGCGGTTTCGAATTTTGTTTCCATTTGACGAAGCAAAGGTCTGTTATCAGGCAGAATGTTTCGGTAGCTTTCTTCTGTTATAAAGGTCCTTCCAGCCCCGGTATCTATTTTCCATGAGATTGGAGATCCTTCCAGTTGACCGTCAACAACCATACCAGGTTTTCCATTCACCCTTGTTAAGAATGCCACATCATTCGACCCAATGTCCGATTCATCTTTTCCATTGTCCTGTAGAAATTCAAATTCTGTAGACATTAATGTTTTCACATTATAATTCCCCTCTTGAAAATAAGATGTATTATCACTTTGATCTACCTGTGAATGAAAACATTCAGGAGTTACTTTCTGGTCTACTTTTTGTTGTACAGACGAACTGTTCAACTGTTTCAAGTGATCCATGTAACTACCATCAATGTCCTCAACACAAGTTAGTGCTTATTGACATCTTTGAACTACCAAGAATACTTTCTGATTCACTTTTGCTAGGCCTTTTGAAACCGCCGGTCAGAGCATGACCTACTGCTCCGACTGATCCCTGTTAAACTGTTGGTCGGTACCCTGACTCAGTCGAACGGTGTTGTTGGACTGCATCGACTTTGTCTTCTGAATACTAGTATCATTTTCCTTTTTTCCAACATTTATCCACTGTATGATTTGTTTTTCCACAGTAATTGCAAGGATAATATGTACGTCTTTGTCGTCCATGAATACTAGAGTTCTGATTTCTTTTCAAGTTTTTGGTAAATTTATCATCGCCACGTATTTTTCTTTCTTCTTCAACTTCATAAACATTTCTACGAACCAACTTACTAGATTTTCGTTCGTTTATGCGTATGCATTCTTCTTGCATAGCACTCGTCACTGCTTCCTGAAATGTCTTAGGTTTTGTACGTCGAATTGCCATCCTGAAATCTTCAGATTCTCCACCAGCATCAAGAAATGTCCGAATGCTATTTTCCTGCACAACTTCTGAGTTAGACGGATATGCACGTCTATATAAATCTTCTATTGCTTGTCCTAAATCTCTGAACGATTCCACTGGCGTTCTTCTTCTTAGCCTTGCTTCAGCGAGATAACTTTCTTTCATATTTGAATGTCCAAATCCTAATTCCATGCTTTCAATTAAACGATCCCAATTTGTTTGAATCTCACTAGAAAGTCCATGCATAAATGTCTCTGCTTGGCCTCTTAGCGTTGTCATGAAAACTAGCCGTTTTCTATCATTATTCCATCCATTTAATATAGCAATATTTTCAAAATAACGTAAGAAATCTGCCCAAATGTCTTTCCCTGTACCACTGAATGTTCGCTTTGCTTGGGTTTCAGATCTATAACTCGATCGATTGTTATCATCACCAGTTGGCAATATTGTTCCATTTGGTATTTCTGGCTGGAATGTCAATTTCCGTCTAACCTTTGGTGTAGTCCTAGGATAAATACAATCCCTTGTGTCGTTTAATGGTCGACCTTCCTGATCTCTTATGCTAGCCTGTTGCGATTGAATTTCCTCAAACATTTTGAAAATCACTGTACACATAAACAGAATAAAAACAGTAGTTGGAATCACTATGTAGTTTTCCCGCAACCAGCATACCACGTCATGTTATGGATTCATTGTTAAAATTATTCCAATCACACTTGTCACTATGGCTATAGAGATAATCCATTTTACGAAAAATCCCCTCCGTTTAACAGAATTCCTGTTGTTTCGGAAACTTATCTCATTATTACTACCTTCTGCAACACAATGTTCAGGAATAGGTGTACATGTCATACTCGGATGTAAGTAAGATTCTCGAGGATTAAAAGCTCCAGATGGTGTCAATGGCTCCGACGCTGCCGGTGTCGGAACTGATACTGGTTCTTGATAACTATAAACCTCTGTACCTGGACGATACATCCTCTGTTGACCAGAAGGAGAAAATATCCGAGGCTGAGTATTTCTATAATATGTAGGAGCAATTTGATGATCATTGTATTGATTCACACAAATAAAATCCATTGGATAATTCTCATAATTTGTTCCATCTCTATTCGAATCTTCCATTACAATCAAAATGATCACATTTGAAATAAATCATTCCTCATTAATTTTACTGGGATGAGCGATCCCAGCGCTGCCACCATTTGTAACGTGTCCGTATTTATACTTTTATTTGGTAGTAATTTTGGCTTAGTACAACCACGACAGTATATAAAATATATAATCATTTAATCATTCTCTTCAAATATATATAACAGTTTACAATTCCATGTAGTCACAGTATAAATAAAAATAATCATCAGCTACTCCTCACTAAACTACTACTAATCTAAACATCAAACTCCTAAATCATTCCAACTCCGTCGAGGCACCGGTCGGCACCTGGACACCTAACACTCACACATGAATAAAACTACTAAATACAATAAAATAAACTAATAAAAATCGCCACAGTAAGTTAGGATATATAAAGGTAATGTGATTGATCATTTATTATTGACTGTTTGCTAAGAGTTCAGTGGCAAGTATTTCATTTATATAAATGACGAGAAATATTTAATATATCATAAAGCTAGATTCTGCAAAGTTTCACAGTGAGAATTAAAGATGAGAAATCTGCTCTGCTGCCACAAAAGGATTTGTCGTAAATTTAATCAAATTAACTTGAAAAATTAGTACACATGTTCACTTTGAAGCAAACTTTTAAATGGTATGCCTAATTTCTATTTGTTGACCATGATTTCACAATTCATTTAACATATACACATGATAGTGTGAGTATGACATTGAGTCCTACAGACACATAGTCTTGTCCAATTCTTCTCTTTGAATAATTTTTTTAAAACACATTACTTAATTTGGTATATTTGTGGTATTTTCATTTAATTCCTCTCTGTTCATTCCTTCTATATGAGTGTTTGCTTAAAAATAGGATATATTTATGACATTTATATGATATATTTATCTTTCCTTATTCTTTTTTTCAGTTCCGTTATCTGAGTACATCATCGGAGTGTTTATATTCATTAATCAATGGAGATGACATGTTTGTAACATTTTCGGCAACAATGACAAAGAATATGGTGGTGTGGTATTTCAGTCGAATCTACCTGTATATATTTATCTCACTGTTTATTTATTGTGTTTTGAATTTGTTTATTGCTGTTATTCTGGATACGTATGAAACTATTAAGGTAATTATTGAGGCTATTTAGACTGTTTGGCAGATATTTATTTATTCAGTTTGTATTTTTGAAGTATAGATATTTCTTTGTACAGTTGTAACTCCCAATTTTGACTCTTAAATTGAAGTCTACGTCTGTTGCTGTCTCAAAGATGTAGTATCCTTAGTCTAATCTTATTCATATCAAGAACAAATTGAGATTACTTAGGAATGAACAAACCTTGGATATCTGCCACACTTATATCTCGTATTCACTGTTATAGTGGGAAGCATATAAGGGTATTCCCTGTTTTATATGGAGGCATATTTGGGTATTCCCTGTTTTATTGGGAGGCATATTGGGGTATTCCCTGTTTTTACGAAGCATATTTGGGCATTCCAAGTTTAAAGGGAAGGCATATTGGGGTATTCCCTGTTTTAATGGGAGGTATATTGAGGTATTCCCAGTTTACAGGGGAGGCATATTGGGGTATTACCTGTTTTAGTGGGAGGCTTGATGGGGTATTGAAGTTTTAATGGCATTTTGAGTTTGTTTTATATTTACAAGTTTGAATATCCCTTTGGTATCTTTACGATATGATTGAAATCATCATTAGTCTCCTAAAGGAGCTGCTCCCCCTGTTCATCAAAATTAAATCAATTTTTTCGTTTTTGTCTATTATTTTGAAAAATAGTGAATAGGCAAAATATGATCTGACAGCAAAACAAGTTTTTGCCACAAAGTTTCCCCCAAAAAACAAGTATTTTTGTCACATTATATCAATTTTGTGCAAAAATTCAGGTGAGCAAAAAATGCTCCTTGGAGCCTCTAGTTTAATAATCTATCATGATAAAACCTGATTGCTGAATTGATTAAGGTACACCAGAAGTTAAATTGTTTGAATGTCCAAAGTTTATGGTCAAATGATACGAAGAAACAAAGTCCAGATATATTATTTAAGGATGTATTCTTCTGAGGTTTCAGTCTCATTGAAATCTCGTTCTGGAATTATTTCCAAAATATGTGATACAAGTGGAAAATATCAATGAATTTAAAAAATGTTATAATCAAACTTAACTCTGTGAAAAAATTGTATATTTACAATGAGTAGTTTTTGAGTAATCGATTTTTCAAATTTTATCAACAATCAAGTCAGTCTTTTTAGCCAAAATTTAAAGAAAATGGGTGAGGGGTACAAGAAATGATTTTACCAGAAACATGTACATCCCATATCACTTTTTATGCCCCCGCCGTAGCGGTGGGGGCATTAAGTTTTACCCTTGTCCGTCTGTACGTACGTACGTCCCAAAATTGGTTTCCGTTCTCTAACTTGAGTTTGCCTCAACCAAATGTTATCAAACTTACACACAATGCTTATTACCACAAAACACAGATCAAGAATGAATTTTGGTGGTGTCACTTTAACCGTTCTAGAGTTATGCCCCTTTATAAATGGAAAAATTGCAAAATTTTTAGTTTCTGTTCTCTTACTTAAGTTTGCCTCAACCAAATGTTATGAAACGTATACACAATGCTTTATACCACAAAACACAGATCAAGTTTGAATTTTGGTGGTGTCACTTTAACCATTCTAGAGTTATGCCCCTTTATAAATGGAAAAATTGCAAAAATTTTATTTTCTTCTAAATTTCAAGTTATTTATAAAATTGGAGTTATCTTCCTTTGTCCATATAGTTGAATCAATTACAATCAATGCTTTATACAATGCAATGTTAAATTTTGACTTCCACTGATAAAACACAGATCAAGTTGAATTTGGGTAGTGTCACTTTAACCATTATTGAGTTATGCCCCTTTATAAATCGAAAGATTGCAAAATTTTTAGTTTCCATTCTGTAACTTAAGTTTGCCCCAACCAAACATTATTAAACCAATAATATTCATTACCACAAAACTAAGATCAAGTACAAATTTTTTGTTTCCGTTTTCTAACTTTAGTTTGCCTCAACCAAATGTTATGAAACTTATACACAATGCTTATTACTACATAATACAGATTAAGTACAAATTTGGTGGTGACACTTTTACCATTCTTGAGTTATGTCCCTTGATAAACATAAAAATTGCTGAATTTTTCATTTCAATTCTCTAACTTTAGTTTGTCTCAACCAAATGTTATAAAACTTATACACAACCGTTCTAGAGTTATGCGTGTTTACAAATAGAAAAATTGCTGAATTTTTAGTTTCTGTTCTCTACAGATAGCCTCAACCAAATGTTATGAGACTTACACACAATGCTTATTACCTCAAAACTCAGACCAAGTTCAAATTTGGGTAGCGTCACTTTTACTGTTCTTCAATTATGTCCCTTTATAACTATATGATATGCAAGCGGGGGCATCATCTGTGTCCACATGTGGACACTATCCACATTTATTTCTTTTCAAATTTCTTAGATATGTATTTTTTCAATCATTTATAACAAAGAAGTTGAAAAAATATGCATTTTGTTCTCAAAACAGAGAAAAATCACAAATTTACAAAATTGACAGCATGGTAAAATATATTAATACCTACCAATAGTTTTTGTCTCGCCTTGACGGAGTCAAAAAGGGAGACAAAGTTATGCTGTTTCCGGGGTCAACAATGTATTAGTTTGTGACTAGGTCTAGTTCATGGTGAACCACTAGTGGTAGGTCAATGATATTTGGTATGTAGTTGTATTAGCATTGGCACATCTCATTACCATGGGTATTATTTGGCCCCGCCCCCTCAGTCAAGGTCTATTGACTTTGAAACTTTGCTTAGTTTACATGTATTAGTTTCTGATTAGGTCAGTTTATGGGGAACCACTAGTGGTAGGTCAATGATATTTTGTATGCAGTTGTTTTAGCATTGGCACATCTCATTACCATGGATATTATTTGGCCCAGCCCCCTCAGTCAAGGTCTATTGACTTTGAAACTTTGCTTAGTTTACATGTATTAGTTTGTGATTAGGTCAGTTTAAGGAGAACCACTAGTGTTAGGTCAATGATATTTGGTATGCAGTTGTATAAGCATTGGCAAGTTTCATTTCCATGGAGATTATGTAACCCCACCCCCTAATTATGGTTCATTGACTTTTAAACTTTTACATAGTTTACAAGTTAATGTTTCAATTGTTTGTGTTTAGGTTTGTTTAAAGGGAACATCTTTTGAAAAGTCAATGGTATTTGGTTTGCAGTTTTATTAGCATTGGCACATCTCATTTCCATGGAGATTGTTTAGCCCTGTACCTTCAGTCATGGTTCATTAACTTTGAATATTTGCATAACTTACATGTTAAAGTATTGCTATTTTAATTTCAACATTCGCATTATCAAAATAACAAATAGGCGAGACATATCTCTGTGTTAACAGTTTATTTTTAATTTTTGTCTCGCCTTATTCAGATTGGTCCACTTTATCTTTATTGAAAGTTTGAAAAAAAGCTTAATTGTGGAACTATGATTTTTTTCACGATAATAGCCCAAAAATAGGTAAAAATTGATGGAAAATCATCAAAATTAGGTACTTTCAAAGGGCCGTAGCAAAAAAAGAAGTGCACCACCATATGATTTTTTCTTCACCAATTATTTTTTTGCAGTCATATAAACCCCAAAATCAGGTTAAGAAAAAAAGATTAATTCTAGAAATTTTTGGCTCCTCAGAGGTGTACATCCTTAAGAAGATCAATACATTTGTTATACTACACATCACATATTTAAAGACAATGCTGTTATAATGACTGTCTATTTTTAGGAGTACTATGAACATGGCTTTCCCAAGAGTGATCTGACAGAGTTTATATGTAAATGTAATGACCCCCCAACGTCAGCTTTATACAGGGGAGAAGACACTGGGTGTGGTCTCTGGTCTTGTTTATGTTGCTGTAAAAGGTAAGTACAGGACTTCCAGAATGAGGCTCTGAACATCTGGGGTCAGTAATCCTTATGTGCCTCATTAAATGTGCCTCAAAAGGAGGAATACAACTTTAATACACCATCAAACAATATAAAATGGACTGAGCTTAACTGTTTGTGTATTTTTGAAGTGCAAAAGACCATAGAATAAGATGCAAGGAACTTAATTTCTAGAGAATAAATGTAAAAATACGCGAATTTTTTAGCTACATCTGAAGGGTTTTTGGTGTCTTCAACATTACGTAAAAATAATTCCCATGGGCTGAGGAATTGAAGAAAATGCTACTTTTACTGCCTACCTGAAATCAATTGTACATATCACTGCATATTAATCCAATTTCTATGAACATTCAAATCCCCATATCTTTTGCACTAAAACTCCAATCCTGAGCCTGAAATTATTCTTCTTATACTCCAGTCTGAGACCATTTGTACTTACAAAAAGAGAAATAAAATTACAAATGATCCATATTAAAATACAGATTTGTATAGAAGTCGTCATAGAAGCTACTTTGTATTATGTAATTTAATTATTTTCAGAAATGCAGATCAACCAGGAGAATATACTAGTTTGTTATAGAATTAATATGCTGTAGTCGAGAAGTTAGTAATGGCCCCATTGTCCAGTTACAGGTGACAGTGAATTAAAATGATCATGGCTTTACTAGAAATTACATTTGTGGATTAAAGAAAGTGCCAGTGAAATACAATGATCATGACTTTACTAGAAATTTGTGGATTGAAGAAAGTGCAAGTGAATAAACCTTTACATGTCTCAGCAACTGAATCTGATGTTATATACATTTACATAACAGTTCAGTTTTAATCTTATATTAAACCTTACATTATTGACTAATACTCATTTCACATTCCAACAAAATGATCATTCCTTGTAGTATTCATTTTATTTATTTCTGTCATATTTTTAGAGTAAATACAGTATATAAATTTTTATTTGCTTTTATTTAATTTTAAAATAATGTACCTTTTTAGGTATCAATTTTAGGGGATTAATGAAAAATTGCATTTTTGCAAATAGATTTGGTTCATCTTTACCCACCATTTATATCAAAATATAATGGTTCAATACAAAATACTCACATCATTCTTAACATCTAATTGTAGCTGCCTAACCATGCATAAAGGCAAGAATATAATATAATATAATTATTGGTTCAGATTTGGTTTTTAGACTGCTGCTGCTGTCTTATCCAGCTAAAAATCCATATATTTAACAATACTCTACAATATTACAGCACTATTTATTACTTTTAGAGTTGTATTCATTTGCAATATCTATAAATATAAGATTTCGTTACACTTCTACACCAAACTTTTTTGATTAAAACATGTTTTTGTTTTCAATTTGGAGTTAATGACAAAAGAAGCTTTTTTCGTTTTGTTAGTTTTGTCCCCCGCGTAACATGTTGTGGAGGATATGGATATACAGGGTGTATGTCTGTCCATTCATCTGTCCATCCGTCCGTCCAGTCTTCTATGCGCTCTCACTTCTACACTTCTTGCCAGAATTTTATGAAACTTATATCTTAGGTTTTTATAAGTAATGTCTTTGACACTTAAGAAAATAAGTTCTGTTCAAATATTTTTAACGAGTAATACGTACGGTGACCTATAGTTGTTAATTTCTGTGTCGTTTGGTCTCTTGTGGAGAGTTGTCTCATTGGCAATCATACCACATCTTCTTTTTTATATATATCCCTTGGAAATATAAATTATAATGGAAATCACATTGCATTTGCTCTGAAGCCTTCATTTCTATTAAGATAATAATAAAAAAAAAATAAAGAACAAAAAAAAGTGCTTTCTTTACTTATTGCCCTTTTACCTCGGATACATAAAATATGTGCAACTCGAGGAATATTGAAATTTACATAGTTTCACTAGGTTATTTAAAAAAATCATGGATTCTAATGGCAGAAAAGGGTGTGAGAATTATCTATAAATACAAATTATACATGATCATTTTCATGGTTTTATAAATATCTTTTTTCTATTTGTATTATAAGTCTATATAAAAAATCGAACTCTGAAATCAATATTATTGCTTTGTATAAATGGTACAATTGCATGTCAAATATTAAAATCATCTGCTCAGGAATGTCCATGTTTTCTCTCTTTTAGTGTATCATGTTGGTGCTTTAATTTATAAAGATGTGCAATGTATTTAATGTAATGTAAATAATTAAGATGTAAAATAATTACAATGTATGTAATATAATGTAAATTTACTATCACCATGTTATTTAATTATATAATGTTCTGTCAATAATTACTACGTTATTAATGTAAATATATTTATTAATAGTACGAAAGCACATGTATTTATTTTGGTAAAACACATGTGTTTTATTTACATCAACACATGTTTTAGAATACCTGTAATGTTTACAATGGGTTTCCTTGGATGAAATTTGTCGCATAGCAGGTATTATTCTCCGAATTAAAACAGGTATTCTATGTATCGTATGATTTCGGCTCTTGTTTCTCGTGCCTGCTGTTTTATATAAATTAAATGTAATTTATAATGTTATCATTTGAAGTTCTGCCTTAGGCTGAGTAGCATACTTTGTACTACTGCCATGCCTGTATTAACCATAACAGACCACCGTTCTGAAGAAGAAGACAAATTACTAATACATGAGTCTACAACTCCTTTAGTTCTTTACAAAGAAGCTGCATTTCCTAGTTTGTTTGTACCAGTACCGTCTACAGCAACCCATCAAACAGAGCCACAGCAAAAAATAAGTGACAGCACCTTTTAGCTGGTTAATAAATAAAATATGCTACTCTCACAAGGAGAGTTAATTTCTGATACATGTGTTGAGTTTTATTGTATAAATAATTTATGTTAGTGTAAGTCTGGCGAACTAGAACATAATGTCAATTATTACCATTTTATTAATGTAATGAGAATACTTACTATGTTATTAATGTAATGAGAATAATTACTATGTTATTAATGTTATGTTAATAATTACTATGTTGTTAATGTTATGTCAATAATTACTATGTTATTAATGTAATGAGAATAATTACTATAATGTCAATTATTACCATTTTATTAATGTAATGAGAATACTTACTATGTTATTAATGTAATGAGAATAATTACTATGTTATTAATGTTATGTTAATAATTACTATGTTGTTAATGTTATGTCAATAATTACTATGTTATTAATGTAATGAGAATAATTACTAGTATGTTATTAATGGTGTTGGTAATTAACGTCCTATGAATGAAATGTTGGTAATGTAAATTGATGTTTAGGGTACTGTTCTGTGTGTGTAGGTTAATTTATTTAATGTATAAGTTATTTATTTAAGGATTTATCATATCACTGAATATGATAAAAAAATATCAATCAATCTTGAAAAAATCTTTATTAAAAGGAGGAAGGAAGAAAAACAAATAAATAATTAGTCAATGAATTTATGTTGGTACCGATTATCAAATTGTCTGCATGTTGATATTGTAAAATATCAGCTGCGAGTCACAATATGAAGCTTTTTGTCGAGATAATCGATTTATCGGGCTGTTTTTGCGTCTTTTGGAAGTTATTTCTTAGTTTCACCAGCAACCGGAAGATGACTTGATAAGTTCGGGTCAAACATATCAACGTCGGTTCAAACATTATGATGTTGCTGATATGTCCGGGTCAAAGTCATAAAGGCAAGGTCAATGTATTTGAGGTCACAAAGCCGTGATATGCAATTTTATTAAGAGCTGAGCAGAGTGATATAGACAGTGGGATGAGCGATAAATTCATATACAAAGCAGCTGCAGAAATTGTAAGTGTTCGTTTTATACATAACCAAGTTTAGTTTTTACACATTTCGTTATTTTTTGCTTGTATTTTTTTAAATCAAAATTATTTGATTTTAATTCCAAACAGTTGATTCATCAAAAAACTACATTTGGCAAACAATTTCACGAGCTGTCTCTGAAGATTAAAATTCCTGTAGAAATTAACTCTAATTTATAAAATTTTCAAATGTATTACTTTAAATAATTGAGTTGACTCACTTTATATCTCGAAGATTTTGTTATTTTATGGTCTGTTATAGCTGACTATATGATATGTTTTTTTGCTGATTATTTAGGGTCGTATGGTGACTTGTAGTTTATTGATTTCTTGTCTTTTGATGGAGTGTTTTTTTATTTATATCAGACAACACCACCTCCTATCTACCTTTTTTTTGATAGCATGAGAAGCTGAGACATTGATTCCCACCCTTTTTCATGTTTTTTGAGTAACAAAAATGCAAACCCTCTTGTATGTTTATTGACAAAAGATTTATCTATTGCTATCATGCTTGCACTATTTCCAAGAGTGATAAATTGATTTAACAAATACCTATGACTCTAGTTTTAAATTGCATCCGTGCAAATAATCAACAACTGATTGATAATGGATACCTGTGATTCAATCAGAAGTCATATATTTCATCTTAGATTCTTGACCTTATCACATATCATGAAGCTTGGAAAAGTTACCTACCACACATTACATAGTCAAAGCCTTACTTCTATCTAAAACAAATCTTTTCATAAGAGTACATTCTAGGCTTGGAAGTCATATGGTCAAAATATGATGATTTTGTGCATATTATTAACCTAAAAGTATGAGGAAAAACTTGGCTGCAACCTATTTTCCCAAATGTTCTGTAACCAAAAGATGCTAATGATGATGTTGAATTCTTAGACACAAGAAATTTCTGGATCAGGCGAAAGTAAATTATACTAAAAAATATTTTGAATCATGGATTTATTTAAAATATTTTTTAGTATAATCATGGAAGTAATATTGAAAGGAATAACAACGTCGTCACTTCAAAGGTTTCATCTGCGTTACCGCCCATCTTTCGATAACTCGTTAATTGGTTTAATATATGGCATGGTAATTGACTCTCGGCATGTGATAGATCAAATCACTGACACTTTTCGGTCATTTTGTGTTCCCGGAAAATTACGAATAGACCAGTTGTTGTCGTATGTACGTACGAAGTAACCCAAATAGTTCACTCGTTACATTCCGCTGCTGTACGCTACCGAATAGAGTCAGTTATTCAATGTTGATTTTAGTCTATTTTTCCTATTTATGTCTTTTTCGATCTTAATAGTTTAGGCCGACAGTTATCACATATTGAATTTAAGAAAAAAGGGTGGATCATTTTCAATTTTAATACTTAAAACCAGTTAATTAAGAAGCCATTTCTGAAAGTTAAGAAGATGATTGTACAAAAAAATATGTGTCGACCCCCTTTTATTAAATACGAATAATCCAAGTCTTCCGTGTATACCAGGCAAAACAAATATTCACAATTTTAAACGTTTCTATTCTTTAATTTGTACATAAACAAATTCATATAAAATAAATTTGCGGTTAGACAGATAGCGTCAAGCTCGTTTTGTATGGTTGATTTTCTTTTTGCTGTAACGTGCTACATTAATATTAGTATTCAATTGTAAACACTTTTTTAAAATAGATATAAATTTAACATGTTTACGAACTTATGATCCCGATTTTAATTGTCCAGTTTTAATAACGTAATCAATTACTTGAAAGTAAATATTTTTATAAATCTCGATAAACTTGGCACATTTCAACAGTAAAATATTCTATGTCTACATCTGTCTACATTATTTTGTTCAACATCATGTGAAACCTGATCGATTCATCGGTATTTAACTGTTTTACTCGGGATCCGCTTTTAACCGGAAAATACTAGTTTAAAACAAACGGCAAAGAGCAAAAATATGCTAAATTAAATACAATTTTCCATGCTAAACTGTTGTAGGTTGAACAATTCTCGTCCGTTTTTCAAGTTTTTTACATCATACGACTTCTTTCTGAAGGTAGAGGTTTTATATGATACAGCGCCACCTTCTTATTAATAAACCTCGGATTTCACACAGGTGCTTTATAATTACCGGACTCGATAAAATCACGTGACTGATAAGAAATTCCAGATGCCATTTTACAACCGCGGTATCACAGATAGTAACCAAAGGGGTATTGCCGCTGAGACTATAATTGGATAAAATCATATGACTTTAGTACAGAGCTCTGCAGGCTGTTAATACATGCTAATTAGTCGTTGTTATTCCTTTTAAATATTACTTCCATGGTATAATTTACTTTGGCGTGATCCAGAAATCCTTAATTGTCATAACAAAAAAAAATACTGCATAATTAAGGGATTATTGTTTTGTTATTTATAATGTGGTTATTTCGTATTCAAAGTAATGTAGCAACTATTTCTATTTGAAATTTGTAGTATTTTGGCCTGATTAATAAAACATCAAAACCCTAGGGCCAATTTTAACTTTTTGTGAACTTACTCCTTTACATATTTGACTATATTTTACTCTGCATTTAGTATGTGAGTTTATTTTAAATACTTTCAACTTTGATTAATAAAAGATCATCAACCATCTCAGGCCACAAAGTTCTCAACATCTAAATTTAATTTTCGCTGTGGTTTTTTAAGAATTAGAATACTGTATAAATATTTTATTGTTATTTGAATTATTTTTATATAGTATAACAAACTACTTTGCAATTATCCTAAAATATTGCAAGTTTAAATTTTTGATGTGTTGAAGAAACAGGTGATTTGGTTTTGTTTTCTGTAGAAATTGAAGATATGTAAAATGAAGAGAGAATCACAAAAGATAAAAATCTACTTACTTTGATATATTTTGTTCACAGAACTATTTGTGTAATAAATGAAAATAACAAATATATTTGTTGCCATGAACATGCTTTCATCCATTATTTCATGACATGAAATGTTAAAGCAAACATACAATACAAAAGAGAGCACAAGGGGAATTTTTTTTCTTCACTGTAGTAATAACTGTATAAAGTTAAACTTGACTTAGTCTTGTAACAAAATACAGCTAAAAAATACAAGTATAAGAATTTAGTAAAACAAAAGTAAAATAAGGTATGATTGACAATGAGACAGCTCTCAACCAGAGACCAAATGTCGTAGAAGTTAGAAACTTTGTGTAACTGAATAGCCTTCAACAATGAGCAAAACCTAAACCAAATAGCAAGCAAGATAGACCACACAATCACAAATGTAAAACAATTTGAATAAGATAACTTGTGGCCTGATATATGTCAGCAAAGTAGACAAACTAAACGAGTTTGTATAACAATGTTTTTACTTGATAAAAGTAATAATAAGTTGTACCTTAGTAAAATAAAACAGGTAAACTATTTACATCACATTACCCTGACTCCAGGAAATGCATCCCCGCATTTACCGAAATCCATTGAGAACATCTACATCGAGTGGACATTGTTCAGTCTCAAACTCTCTCCTGGTATTGCCTAGAGCCATATCATTCAAAAAAATAATTTAAATATCAGAAAACAACTATTACTTCTTCAGTACCTAACCACTAGAACAACTCGTAGATGTATGATCTACCCGACATGACAAGATTCCCACTCAACTGTATACTATTGTCTTAACATTGGAGGAAACTTTATCTCTAGTAACCTTAAGTCGTTTTACATCTGTATTTAAAATATGCTTGCTGACAGATTTCCGAGCAACCAATCTTTGACCATGAAAACCAACAAACCAAATAGTACATTTGAAAACCACCGAAAACATCACAAAGCCAAAATGATTTTGCCTAACAACCTCAGATTTAACGTCCGTCCGTCGGACATATATATTAAAATATACAACCAAAATTATATTTATAGTAGTGATTCCCTCACTTTTGATTACAAATTAAACTGTCTTTCCATCTAGACTCCCAAAAAGTGTCCATATAACTTATTAAACGTCCACTTAATTAAGGATAACTAACCTTCAACATCTCTGGTTGATATTTGTGACAAAAAGATAGTGTTTGAAAAGTCATCCCACTTTCTTCCTCTGTTTCTGAGACATGAATGCCCTGTTTGTCTGAGGCGGTGATGATGGCTTATCCTTTCAGTTTGAGTGCAGTCGTCCAAGGTTAACGGTAATATTGGCATTGGTGCACTCAATATAAGAGTTGAAACTGCAGTAGTTGGCGAGATTGATCCTGGTACAATACACCTTATCGCTATTTAGTCCAATCCGGAAAAAACAGTCATTTAGACAACTTCCTGTTTGGGTCAACAGGCCTTGAACAGGTAAACAACAAAGGTCATCAGTAACGAGCTGAGGGAGGGAAAAATTTAGAAAGCGATCAATACGAAACTTTGATAGATTATGATCCGCTTTTTCGAAACTCAAATTATAGTCAAAAAATATTTTGTTTGAAGTATTTACGATGTTTTAAACAGATCTCATTAAAAAGTATCATGCATGGTGCATTGTTTAAACAGGGCCCCAGATAGCTTCAACTGGATGAAAAAGTTGTGTAATTTTAGAACTTATCAGGAATGGAATAAATAGCGATTAGGTGTATACATGAGCTCTCGGATACTGGGGTAGCTGTCCAGACTGTACTGAAGATAGTGGAATCGTCAGATTCTGAGCCTCTACTTTCACTGACGATTGAAGCTGGCGCTGTGGATACAGTGCACGACACTCGGGGAATCTTCTGTGGTATTATGGATTTTTATAGCATTTCCATTAATTCCTGCTTCCTTTTAGGAGTCACTACTGGGTTGGCTTTGGTCGGTTTGCGCACGGTTCGCGGATCATCAGGCGCACCAATAATTTCTGATAAATCGCCAGGATTTTTGCGTTTCCCAATCTGACTCCTCTAGAGCTTTGTCAAGACCATGTACTCTTTTCCTATGTATATTCAAATCCTGTTTTCTTGACGAAGCATAGTGACAACCAGACTCGGAGGACCGAAACTTTTCCTTCTCTTTTGCACATTTGAGCGTGTGTACATCCCATACAGCCTCCGTTTTACAATCTGTATTGCAATAATGGCATCGCCAGTCCTGTCTATTTTTTGGGGGTTGCTTTTTTTTCACCATTTCTGCAAAATAAGATAAAAATAACTCAATGACTTTTGTCTGCATTTGATGTAGAACGTAACTTTATATACATATCTAAACTTATTTATATACATGATAAAGAATATATATAAACAACAATGCGATCCACATTATCTAACAAAATCAAGCAGCCATGCTAGCTGCTTGGTAACCCTGCGCGGACGCCCTGTGTAGTCTGACTTATCCCTTGAATCACTTGGATCAACAATGTTGTCCGCACTATCAGACTTATCATTAGAAATTTCGGGCACCACACCTTCCATCACAAAAGTATCATCTTGATTTTCGTTTTCTTACATCTCTAATTCTCCTTTTAGATATTGGCCCTTGCACAAAAAAGTAAAATCACAAAAAAACTGAACTCCGAGGAAAATTTAAACCGGAAAGTCCCTAATCAAATGGCAAAATCAAAAGCTCATGCAAACACATCAAACGAATGGATAACAACTGTCATATTCCTGACTTGGTACAGGTATTTTCTTTTGTAGAAAATGGTGGAGTGAACCTGGTTTTATAGCTAGCTAAACCTCTCACTTGTATGACAGTCGCATCAAATTCCATTATATTGACAACGATGCGTGAACAAAACAAACAGACATAGGTAAAATGTCAAATATACAGCAGTCAACATTGTGTTATAATCTTAATCACTAAAAAAACAAACAAATATGTAACAAAGAAGCACAAAATGGCATATAGACCCAAGCATATTAGCAAAAATTAAAGACAAGAATACACAAATTTACCATAGTACAATAACACAATGACGGGATGTATAAGTACAGAGCCACGTCATATATGTGACAAAGAAACAAAAAAGAGCATATAGACAAAGCAAAAATGAAAGACAAGCAACTAACAAGTTTTACAATAGCACAATAACGGGATGTATAAGTACAGAGCAACGCTATATGTATAAAGTAACACCAAAAGGCATATAGACAAAGCACATTAGCAAAAATGAAAGACAAGAATACGATAATATCATAAACAATAATGACAGTATGTACAAGTACCACAAGTATCTTAATCACAATAAAAACAAACAAATATTTAACAAAAAAGCACATATATCAAATTTAACAACCTCATTCATTGCTTTCTTGTTTTTGAATTTTATTTATGCAAGTTAAATCCACCCATAAACGATTGAAAGATTTTAAGTACTGAGACCGAATGGTTAGATTAACATTGACTCTAACGTAGAATCGCGCGTTTGACGTTAGAATGTAAACGTCACACAGGTAGAGATATAAAATAATTTTGTCGTTCAAAGTATGAAAATAATATAGTCTATAGTTCTTTAAGCATATCCTTTGCAGAATGTAAATTAGAAGTTTACCTTGTCCTTCTTGTCGCTTGTCTATATGCTTATTGTGTACTTCTTCTAAAAAGGAGCCTCGTCATTATGTATAAAAGAAACACAAAAGGGCATATAGGCAAAGCATTAGCAAATATGAAAGACCAGAATACAAAAATTATAATAGAACAATAATAAAATAGTTAAGTTAAGTACAGAGCTATTCTATCTACATGTATTACCTGTGGTCGACCACGCCTACCACAGTTAATGAGATAATTCACATCCGAATATTCTTTGAGTACTCGAAAATGACCACGCCAGTAGGATGTGAATTTGGGAGATTGACCAGCTTTTCGATTTGGAAAGAATACATATACCTGGTCGCCTTTCCTAAACTTGCTCTAGTTTAACTATTTGTCAAAATACTTTTTCTGACGCAAAATTTCCAGCCCTACATGTTTTCTAACAAAGTGGTAAGCTTCTTCCGTTCGTTCTTGAAGTTCCCACGCCCATTTGTTTTGTGGAATGTTCTTTAAATAATCAGGTACCCCGTACATAAGGACCACTGGTGTGGCAACTTCGCGACCCAACATCATGCGATTAGTTGTACATCCTGTGGTCTCATGTTGAGCTGATCTATATGCCATCATAACGTAGGACAGTAAGCAATCCCAATGGGAATGATGTTCATGAACATAAGCAATCAACATGTTTGCCAATGTGCCATTAAATCTCGATCATTCCGTCACACTGCAGATGAGAAGGCGTGGTTCTAGTCTTGTCTATTTGAAACCGAATGGCATCTGTCGAAATTGAAACAGTCCCCGTCAGGTGGCAAGTGCAGTTTTCGGGCAATCTTTCTCTTCCATTTCCACCTGCCAGTACCCCGAACACAGGTCTAAAGTAGAGAACCATTTATTTTCGGACAATTTCTCCAATGGGTCGTCGATGCGGGTCAATGGGTATGCGTCTATTACTGTAAAATCGTTAACCTTCCGATAATCAACACAAAAGCGCGTAATACCATCCTTTTTTTTTGCAAAGTGTCTCATCCTGCCTTTTTTTACTCAAATCTCCTGTTCTGCCTATTTTTTTCAAATTTCATCCTACCCCCTCCCCCCTAAAAATCAAATGCTCCCTTATTTGGATTGAATCTCATACCCCAATTATTCGACCACTTACCAAAAGTATCTATATCTTTCTGTAGTTCAGCACAGTAATCTTCATTTTTTATTTCTCTGTAGCATACAAAGTCATCTGCGAAAAATCTTATTTCTGATGTTACATTTTCTGCTATGTCATTGATATGGACAAGAAATAGGACGAGACCAATAACTGTTATTTGGGGTACTCCGGATAGGACTGTCGATGTTTGAACTTAATCCCATTCACTACCACACACTAAGATCTTGTAGATAGGTAGGCGTTAATCCAATTCAAGATTATTTTGTGCACGCCATATTTGTGAAGTTTACCTTTTTAATAGCTCATGC